AAGTCCAGACCGACTCTCTGAAGAGCATCCCACCGAGACTCACCCACCCCACCACATCTCTGTAACACTGCATTTCCTTTGGTTAACCCACCTAACCTACACATCCCTGAACACATTGGGCAATTTAGCACAGCAAATCCACCTAACCTGTACATCTTTGGACAGTGGGAGGAAACCAGAGCACCCAGAGGAAACCCACGCAGGTACGGGGAGAATGTGCAAACTTCACACAAACAGTTGCCCGAGGCTGGAATTCAACCCAGGTGCCTGGTGCTGTGAGGCAGCAGTACAGACCACCGAGCCACCGCATCACCCTATTAACGTTAGAGTGGAAGAAAATAGCAAAAAGACCAAAAAAAAGGCACTTTATCTGAATGCATGCAGCATTCATAACATGATGGATAGATTGGCTGCACAAACGGAAATGAATGGGTGTGGTATGATGACCATTACAGAGACATGGTTGCAAAGTGATAAAGGCTGCAAACTGAATATTTAAGGGTATTTGATATTTCAGAAAAATAGGAAGGAAGAAAGTTGAGGTCGGGTATCTGTTAATAGCAAATAACATCAGTAGTGTAGTGAGGAATTATCTTTGCTTGAAGATCAAGATATTGATCAATTTGGATGGAAGTAAATAGAAAAGGAAAGCAGTCACTGGTGGCAGTAGAGTCACAGAGTCATACAGCACGGAAATAGACCCTTCGGTCCAACCAGTCCATGCAGAACATGATCCCAAACTAAACTAGTCTCACCTGCCTGCTCCTAGCCCATACCCCTACAGCTGCTTTCTTTTAGACCCTAGCATGCAGTGATAGTGAATGCATTTGTTCCTAGATTTTGGAAATTGCCAATGGATTGGAAAATTCCAAATATCATGCTTCAATAGAGGAAAGGAGGGAGGCAAAAAGCACAAAACATTTGGCCTGTCAGCTTAACATTTGTCATTGGAAAATGCTAGAATTTGTTGTGAAGGAAATCGTAGCAGGACATTTAAGAAAAAAAATCATGGTTATAATCAGGTAGAGTCAACATAGTTTTATGGAAGGGAAATAGATTTTGACAAATCTGTTAGAGTTTCTTGAAGATGTAACACACAGGATTGATAAAAGGCAACCAGTAGTTTTCCAAAAGGAATTTGATAAGGTGCCAAATGAAAGACTACCATAGAAAGTCAGAGCTCCTGGTGTAGAGTGTAATATATTAGCATGGCTAGAAGGTCGACTAATAAAAGGAAATAAAGTCAGGATAAATGGATCACTTGCAGATTGGCAAACTGTAATGTGGAGTGCTACAGTGATCAGTGCTGGGCCACAATTACTTACAATCTATATGAATGACTTGGATAAAGGGGTTGAGTGTATGGTTGTCACATTTGCTGAGATAATTGTATGAGATGGCCCACTTTGGGGACAGAAAAACAAAATATTATTTAAATGGAGAGAGACTACAGAAATCTGTGGTACAGAGAGAACTGGGTGTTATGTTACATGTACCACAAAATGTGAACATGCAGATACAGGAAGTGAATAGGAAGGTAAATGGAATCCTGGGGCCTTTATTGCAAAGGGAATGGAATAGAAAAGAAAGGAAGTCTTGCTACAGTTGTACTGGGAATTGATGAGGTGGCACCTGAGTTAAGGAGAGATTTTTATGCCTTGGAAGCAGTTCAGAGAAGATTCACTAGGCAGATTCCTGGGATAAAGGGGTTGTCTTAAGAGAAAAGGTTGAACAGGTTTTATCCATGAAATCATTCAGAAAAATGAGAACTAATCTAATTGAAACATAGGAATCTGAAGGACTAAAAAGTATAGTTTAAAACTAAGGGATCTCTGATTTAACTTGGTAATGAGACAATAATAATCTGAGGTTCATTAATCTTTGGAATTCTCCTTGACATAGAGAAATAGAGGCCTACATTCAGCGCACAGTAAAACAGACTTTTGATTGACAAGAGTCAGGTTTGATGGACACAGACGGGAAAGTAGAATTAAGGCCACAATCAGATCAACCCTGATCTTGCTGAATGGTGAAGCAGGCTCATGGGGTCAGATAACCTCCTGCTGCTCATGTTTTTGTGTTGTTCTGATCTTACGTTCCGACAAGACACAGTTCAAACATACTTAACCTAAATGAGGAGCCTGGAAAAGTAGCCTGCTGTGATGCAGTCACTAAGCTGAGACTGTACTGTAACTGTTCTGTGTAAGGGCTGCCCCATGTGGCATTAAATAGTTACTGCGTAATTATTCAGAACATGAATTTTAAAGACACATACATATGGCTTACATTGTGATATTGCTACTTAGTGTGTTATAGAGCTTCATCACATATTGGCCTCTTGTATAGGGTTTTAGAGATTTATCTAGCATATTAGGCCATCATGTAAGGGATTTGTAGAAGTTTGGCAAAAAAATTTACAGTTTGTGATAAGGTAACTCAAAGCATAAAATATTGGGTTTGCAGGTAATTGTGACTGATTAGATGATTGAATGTGGGGGAACCTGTGGTAATGTGGTGTGAAAAACTTTGCCCCATCCTTCATCTGAACCATGGCTCATTACCATTCTTTCCTTCCTTCTGATTATATGTAGCCGCTGTTGATACTGCTTCTCTACCTGATGATTTGGAGAGTCAAATATCTGAAGATTGGCTGGAGGCTGTGAAGCTGCATTATGTGACGAAATATAACTACCAGAAGACAGAACTGCATCTCACCATTATTGAAGGTGCAGCATTGATTCAATACAATTTAGGGCACGGTGTAAATGACATAGTTGCCAAAGTCATAATTACTGAGATCAGTAGGAGCTGACTATTGTTTTGCTATTGCTCACGGTGAAGCAATCATGTGAAGCAATATGCCTGGGAAGATGTTTAATGCAACTGCTACATTGCCCCTTAATAAACTCAAGACACAACTTTCAACTATGCTGGACATGTTACCATACACCACCATTGCAGGTGGGACTTGAACACAGACTTTCTAACCCAGATATTTTCTAATCAACCTGTTCAGAGATGTTATTACACATCTCTGGATGCAAATGAGACTTGAACTCAGGCGTCCTGGTCTAGAGGTAGCAGCACTACCTCTGTACCATCAGAGCAATTTCAATTACACTGGAGTGCAACTAATTACACCCCTCCCATACCCACACATTTATAATTTGCAGCTGGGATAAGGAAAATTAAATTTAATTTTCTTCACACTTCTTCAATTTGCCCTCCATCAACATCAATACGCTATCCAATATTCTCTGTCCTGCCTTTACTTATCTCATCTCCTTCCTGCCCTGACTGAGTTAGGGAATTCACAGTAGCAATATTGTCGTGGTATCACTTATCAGTGCTGAATGAACTTTAGTGTTGTTTAGATCCATTGCTCTTAAACCACTTTCAAATTCAGTCACTAACTCAAATAATATGTAACAGCAAGAATCATCCAAATCATGGTAATATCAAGAACGTTACTGAATTCAAGTTTCCTTTAGAGTTACTGAACTAAAGTTTCCTTTAGAGATTAACCTCCCACTGTGGCAGAACTGCCACAAAGGTGAATAGAACTCCCAATCACTCCAATCACTTTGGGATTTGTAGTTTACCATTTCAGAATGACAATGCTATGATTGGTTTCTTCAGCATAGTAATTTCCTGTTCCCCCACTATCCTGTGGTTCACAGGAAGGTCATGGCAATTCCTACCCTCCTTCACTGTTTCCTGGTGACCCTGTGCAATATGTGACCTTTCTGTGGAAGGGCAGGACTAGTGAACTGGGCATTTTCACCCTTGATACTCAGTTGGGCATTAGAAATATGGGGGGATTGCAGCACTGTCCCACTCTTTTGTCCCACCCTGGGGAAAGGAGGATGTTGAGATGGGTGGATGTACACTTTATAGAGGGTTCTTCTCATTCTCAATGACCCCATGTGTTTCACAGGCAATGAATTACTTTTGAAGAGTGTTACTGTTGTTTTACTTGGCAATTTGCTTTCATGGGGCCTTGCTGCGCACAATCAGACAAGATCATAGAAACAGAAATGGACCATTTGGTCATTCACGTCTGTGCTGGGGTCTGAGCCATGTAGTCTGATCCTTCCTCAGTCCTCATACATTCCTCTTTTAGAAATACTTCAGAACCTGTTTCAATTTGTGGCGGTAAATTGCAATTTTCTAATCATCCTTTCTGTAAAGGGATTTGTTCAAATCTCTCTGCGAAACTGTTTGGGTTTTGGCTGTCTTGCCACTCCTCTTGTTAATGTTAATCTATTTAAAATACAAGTTAAATAGAGAAACTTTAAGAACCCAAGAACTAGCATCTGGTTACATTTCATATAAAAGCCATTCTCAGGCATGACGACTTCCTACTGGACAATGCCTCGTTCATTAAATCATTTTTCTTAGATAATGAGTAATATTGCAGCAGCAATCCAGATTCTAACTTGTCCTCTTTCTCCCTTATCTTTCCCTTTGTTGTTTTCCAGCCCAGTTCATAGATACAGTGGAAAACATGAACTACTGTGACATTTATGTACTAGGCACTTTGGTCACAAAACTTGGAAAGACCGAGGCTGAGACCTCCAAGCAAACTAAGACCTTATTCCCAGTTTGGCAGGAGACTCTGATATTCCCAGTCTCAGAGGAACACATGCAGGACGGGACATTGACACTGGCTCTCTACAGCTGTGACAGGTATTCTAGGCATTACTGTGTGGGAGAAGCACAACTCCACCTACCTGACATGCCAATGGATGCAAGAACCAATTCGTGGATCAATCTGAAAGCTCCTGAAAAGGTATCACCTTTTATCCCTTCTCAGTTCAGTTTGCTCACTGAAATTGCAGTATGTGTCATTGCGAGGCCGCTGGGACCACAAAGATCTACATAAGCGGATACAGTGAAGCAGCTCAACTTCTGAATTATTAATCAGGCAGCGAGGAAGTATTTGTAGATTGTGGAAATATATCTTGACTGTATAAAGACTTTCTTTTAGAAAGGGAAATGAAACCTATTGAATTGCCTCTGGGATTGTAACGCTAAATGTTATTAAAAAAAGGTGTACTGTGAATACGACCTTCCCTCTTAGGAAATAAATGTGATTGTGGTCATCTTTCTCATACCCATCATTGAGAAAGTTCAACCTATCATGCAGCAGACAGTTTGGTCAGAGCTTACTGGCGAGCTTTGGCAAATTTCTTGGCCTATCGCAGGCTTCAACAGTGGTGATCTGGTTCACTGGAAGCCGCCAGCCAGAGGCTGGCAGCTTCTGGGTCCTAAAGACTGTCACTTGCAGACCATTCTTTGCACACACAATGGTGAGAAGGTGCTTTGTCTCCTGCCACAGGGTGAGGATAAGGAGAAGAGGGATTTTGATTTGTTAGACACAAGGTGGCTTCTGGTTTTCAGAGGCTAAACCCTTGTCCCCTCATGTGTGTCTCCAATTGTCCCCACATTTGGGTAACTGGAGACACTCCCAAACCCCCAACCTGGCAGGTAGGTTGCCATGGATACACAGTTGAGAAAACATGCCATCTTTCTTGCTCACCCAGGTAGGCAGGTAATTAGGGAGATGGTGAGTTGGAGTCCCCTGAGTAGATGTTAATATACTTCTTGAGAGCCTTATTTTGTAGCACATTGAGAGTCCTCAATTGATGTTCTGTCCTTGAACAATGCCATACAGTGCCCACCTTTTGACCCAGGGGATCTTTGCTGCAGGCTAAAATAGATTCTGCTCTCACTTGAAACAAATCAGTGAATCGCCATTAGTTGCACAAGCTGATAGACCTTCATTCCTTTTCCCAGTGTGAAGTGAGTTTCCCTTGACCACGCCTGATAATCTTGTCATGTGATGCTTTAATCCTAGATGAGAAGACAGGCTGCTAAGAGCTTCACAGTAATGAAAGACATTTATTATGAGTCCAACACGGGTACCCCAATGCAGTGATTGTAACAAGGTCAGCCAGGTTGACCTCACAGAATATGAGTTCCCTGATTGGGGTTGTTAATCTGGTCCAATCAGGGATCCCTGGTTGGCAGATATAAACAAAAGTATCCCTCTGAGAGCAGACTCTGAGGAAGATGGATCAGTGTCAAGGACTCACCACATGTAAATAAAGGGTGACTTGGTGATGGGATAACAGACTCTGAGTTATTTCATTGGCAATGAGAGAAAAGCACGCTCCTGATGAAATTTGCTCGCAACAGTTGTCTTTGAGTTGGGGTAAGGATTTCTGATATCATGCCACTATTTGGGAAGCTTGACTTGCTTGATCCCACCATCAAAGACTGAGCCCAGAACATAGAAAGAATGCATTATTTTTTCCAGGCAAACAACACTGGGGCAGATGAAAAGCAACAAGTAATTTTCTTGACAGCTTGTAGACCTACAGCTTTTTTGGTTATTAGGAGTCTAATGTTCCCTGAGGCACTAGTCACCAAAACATTTCAAGAGTTGATGGATTTAGTTAAGGAATATAATAACCCCAAGCTGCCTCTAATTCTGAGGCTATTGGTTTTACTGAGCAATTCGACAACCAGAGGAATCCATAATGGGATCTTTGACTAGATTAAGACAACTGGTAGAAGCATATGACTTTGGTTTAACCCTTAATGAGAAGCTGAGAGACCATTTGGCATGTGGGATTAATGATGTAACCATGCAAAAGCATCTACTAGCGGAAGCCCAACTGGAGTTCAAACAGGCACTATAACTGGTTTTATCATTGGAAAATGAGGCAAGTGGAGGTATATGAGTTGCAGGTTATGCCAAGGGAAATGGACACCTTTCCCAGTCCCACTGAGCTTGCGGAATGCCACTTCAGTGCAGGCAGTTACATAGTCTCACTCAGGAAATCTCCTGAACAGAGTGTCAGCTCACAGCAAAACCCCAAAACAAAGCCAAGCCTCGGCCAAACGGTTAACATTTTCGTCAGGATCTGGGCTGACAAGGCAATTTATTTGCTGCTGAAATGCAGACTTGAGACAGCAAAAAAGTCCCACTAGACCTAAACTGAGTAAAAGAATTCATAGGCTGGTATCCAAGAGAGTGCACACCCTGGAAAGTCCACCTATATCTGGTTTGGAACAGTTAAATTGCTCAGCAACAACCAAATCAGATCCAATCAAAATAAATGTCTGGTTAAATGGTCACCCGGTTTTAATGGAGGTTGATTTGAGGGCAGCCATTTCAGTGATAGTGGAACCAGTCTTAATAAAATTGGCTCTGGGCTCTAATCCTTAAGTTTGTGCAAGATCTTAGCTAGACTGAGAACCTATAACCAGGAAACCTTTACAGATTAAGGGTACAACTTTGGTTCAGGTCTCTTTTGAGAAGCAGCTGGTTCAGTTACCACTGATTGTAATAAAATGCTCAGGCCTAAGCTGGATGAGACAAAATTGGTTGAGAAAGATTTACCCAGATTGGCTCAACATTTCTCAATTAGAAAATGGCTGCCTGAGATAAGTCCTAATTAAATATGCAGAAATTTTTCAGGCAGGTCTAGGGACTATCGAAGGGGCCTAGGCCATCTTGCATGTTGACCGGGAAGTAATCCCACAATTCTGCAAGGCCCACCCAGTGCCATTTGCCTTATGAGCAAAAATATAGGTAGAAATCAGAAGGGTGGAAAATGAAGGAATCATCAACCAGTCCAGGTTGTGGAATGGGCAGCACTGGTCGTGTGAAGCCTAACAGGTCTGTTTGTTTACAGTAAAGCAAACAGTAGACCGCTTTTCACAGCTGGATAAATACTAAATCCCTTGCATAGAGGATTTTACACAAAGCTGGCAGGGGTCTGTCCTTCACGAAGTTGGACATGAGCCATGTGTACTTGCATGTTAGATGAGGATTCCCAGTGGATTGCTACAATTAATACCCATAAGAGTTTGTACCAATATATGAGACTGCCATCTGGGGTAATGTAAGCCTGCAATTTTACAACAGGCAATGGAGAACATTTTACAAGGTCTACCCCAGGTTACCATTTATCTAAATGACGTACTGATAACAGGGAAGACCAATAAGGAGCATTTAGAGAACTTGGACATTGTACTTAGATGTTTCTCCCAGGCAGGCATATGCCTTAGAAGGGAAAACTATATGTTCCAGGCACCCCATGTGACCAACTTTGGCTATAGAGTCAACAAGGTCCGGTTACATCTGTTGGAAGATAAAGTGAGGGTGATCAAATGTGCCCCAGCTCCCATGTATGTACCAGAGCTTATGTCTTTCCTTGCGCTGGTGAATTATTACAGAAAGTTCATGCATAACCTGGCCTCTGTCCTGGCACGTTTGCATCAGCTCTTAAAAAAGTCAGCCTTGGAAATGGTCACATTAGCCAAGCCATAGCTTTGAGGGAAGTGAAGAAATAGCTATCATCCTCTAACGTGTTGGCACACTATGATCCCAATTGAGATCTGGTAATGACATGCAATGCCTCCCCATATGGCACCAGGGTTGTATTAGCAAACGATGTGAGAGCAAAACATACCCGGCTCGTCAACAGCTTTTCCAACTTTTCTGGAACCTATAGGTTCTCCCTCTCTATCAAGCATTGAAGATACCTCAGAATCTGAGATGGACATGGCAGAAATCACTGCCTTGATGCCTTTGCTGCCATAAGAGGAGAATAAATTTTTTCTGAGATGCTCTAGGCGCAAGAGGCAAGCTACTGTGTGTTACACGCCACCCATATCAGAGGCAGAGCTGGAGGAACCTGAACCGATGCTAAAATGCCCCAGGAGGAGCTACAGAAAAGAAAAGAACCAGCCTATGTCCTCGGACTCAGAGGAGGAGGGATGTAGTGATTGTAAAGAGGTTAGCCAGGTGGACCTCATAGAATACGAGTTCCCTGATTTGGGCTGGTTCTAAGGGAGCTGGCTCAGTATCAAGCATTCTCCACGTGTAAATAAAGGCTGACTTGATGGCAGGATACTGGCCTCTGTGGAGTTATTTCACCAATTTCCTGTCGGAGGTGTGTGAGTGAATTATTCCGTCCCACCTCCCGAACTGACAAAAACAGCCTGTTCTGCAGCTGTAACACCTCCAGCAACAATGCGATTTGAATTAGGAACTAGACAATTAGTTAATGGGAATTCAGAAATCATATGGGTTTTATATATTTTGAGTTAGAGACAATGAATCTATTTTAATGACACTTGGTTAGATATTTAGCTTTTGCTCAGGACATAAAATCAGATTTTCATCTGATTAAAAATAATGGAAGTGTCGAGTCTTGCCCTGACAATACGGGACCTGTAAACATGTTTTTCTGTCTGTTTCTTAGTAAGACTGATGAGAATCCAATTAACTTGTGTTCACTTACGTATGATTCTAAAGTGTTTATAGATCCCAGGGGTAAAAACCAGATGCAATAAGAGAACAAAGTCTGTTCAGCTTTAAAATTACAGGCAGTTGAATGGCAGGAAATTCAATAGCAGTTTGGTTAAGTGTACCTCAATGGTGCAGCCTAATCTATATTTAGCGCATTTCTATTGAAATTATACAATGTGATTTCTGTCTTTATGTACTTGGGCAAATTGTTTTGAGGAGCATCTACTGCTGATGATTAAGAACTTTTCGAATTGTCACCAATGGCTTGTTTTCTAGGACTCTATGACATCGCCTGGTGAGATTTTGCTTTCCACTAACTACCTTCCAGCTGCCAACCGTCTCATTGTCGTTGTTATGAAGGCACGACACTTAAACTCAGAGGAGCTGAAACATCTGATAGGTAAAAGACAGTCAACTCCTAAATATACACATGTACATTTTGTACATTGCAGTTTCCCAATAATTTGCTGTTTTGATCTTTGTAAAATTCCCTGCATTGTTTCATGACCTCTGATTGAGGGAAATGATGAACAGTCTGCTATCGGTTACCATGGTGATTGCTCCAGTGGTGATCAAGCTCTTTGATGTCTTTTCAGATTTTGCCTCTTTAGGCACTTGCTACTGAAATGCAAATTTAAGTCAGACCGTTGTCATAACACCATGTGTCATCACATTGACCTTCAACAGTTTCAGAATACTCCCTAACCCCTCTTTACCCCTCTATGCCCAACATTTTTATTTCTTTTCAATAAATGTTGCATCAACTTTATCATTTCAGATGTCTTGCAGTTGGCTATTTGCAATGTTGATGTCAGGGAGTCAAATTTAATGGAGGACAGCAGCAAAATGCATTTCACCAGTGTTAAAGTAGAAAGTATAATTTCCACACCAGAGAACTGATAGAAGAGACCCTGGTAGATAGATTGGAGGATAGCCTTCATTTGGTAGATAAGATCAGAGCATAGCCTTCAGGATAGAGAGGATGAGGGGTGACCTTATAGAGGTTTATAAAATCATGAGGCATAGATAAGATAGATAGCCAACAGCTTTTCCCTATGGTAGAGGAGTCTAAAACTAGAGGGCATAGGTTTAAGGTGAGAGGGGAAAAATACATAAGGGTCCAGAGAGGTAATTTCTTCTCGCAGAGGGAGGTAAGTGTCTGGATGGGCTGCAAGAGATGGTGATGGAGGAGAATACAATTTTGACATTTAAGAAACATTTGGATGGGTACATGGATGCGATAGGTATGGAGAGATATGGACCAAATGCAGGCAAATGGGACTAGATTAATTGTGAAAACTGGGCTGCATGGGCAAGTTGGGCCGAAGGGTCTGTTTCTAAGCTATAAATCTCTATGACCCCATTGTAAAGGTCATCCTAAATCTGGGCACCAGTTCCCTTGTGTATGCGTTGGCAGGAGGTGATGAAATGAAAGCCACTGCTGCATTATTAATCCTCTGTGCAATTTACCATTTCTCATTTTGTGTTTCAGTGGGTTCCTGTCTTTAAAAAAAGCTCTTATTTTCTTATTACTAAATTAAATAAACTGATACAGGAGAGCTCAAAAACTCTCCATCTTCTATAGCACAAACCAACTTTGACACATGCAGAACTTCAATTTGGGCAAAATGTATTAACATCAATAAGTACGTGCTCAGTGGTGTTGGAAAATTTAAGTGTGAGTATTAGTAATCATGTTCAGATTCAGTAGCACTTTGGCTATAGGTTTCAGGTTTGCCTCAAAACGTGAATGGACAATCCAGGGTGAAAACTCCACTAAAGACCAAAAGAAATACAGTTGCTGTAAATCAGGAACAAAAACAGAAGTTGCTGGTAAAGCTCAGCAGGTCTGGCAGCATCTGTGAAGAAAAAAATCAGAGTTAACGTTTTGGGTATGGTGACCCTTCCCCAATTCTAGGCTTTTCCAGCAACTTCTGAAAACTTCATTGTAGGGCAGTTAGAAGATATTTCCTTCATTAAAGGTGCTTTTTATATGAGATCCCATCTACTAGTTCAGGCAGATGTTAAAAATTGTAGAGTTGGCATTTCAAAAAATGGGATCCAAAAGGGCTTCTACACCTGAACATCTTATGAGTGGCATGCATTTATCCAAGAGAGGAGCAATGGTGATGCAAAATAAAAATCATACAGATGCTGGAAATAAAAATCAAACATACATGATTTGGAGGAAGGAAGTGGTGTACAATTCAATTGTGAACAATTCAAAACTAGGTGGAAAGGCAGGTTGTGAGAGGGGTACAAACAACATACAGAGAGATATTGATAGGTTAAGTAAGTGGGCAAAGTTAGCAATTGGAGTATAATGAGGGGAAACGTGAAGTTATTCATTTTGGAAGAGAGAATCAAAGAGCAGAATTCTATTTAAATGGAGAAAAACTGCAGAAAGCTGCAACACAAAGGGACTTGGGGGAACTTGTGCACAGAACACATAGCATATTGGTACAGCTAGTAATCAGGAAGGCTAATGGAATGTTGACCCTTATTCCAGGGGTGTTAGAGAACAAGGGTAGGGAAGTCTTACTGCAACTGTACAAGTTGTTGGTGAGACCACATCAGGAGTGCTGTGATCAGTTTTAGTCTCCTTATTTAGGAAGAGATATCGCTTTATTGAAGACAGTTCAGAGAAGGTTCACTAGGATGATCCTCAGTATGGAGGGATTGTCTTACAAGCAAAGGCTAATTCGGTTGGGACTCTACTCACTGGAGTTTAGAAGAGGTGATCTCATTGAGACATTCTGGATTCTTGAGGATCTTGACAGGGTAGATGCTGAGAGGATGTTTCCCTTCATGGGAAAGTCTTGGACCAGAGGGCGTGGTCTCAGAATAAAGGGATGTCAATTTAAGACTGAGATGAGGAGGAATTTCTTCTCTCAGAGGGTCGCCGTGGAGAGCTGTGGGGGCAGAGTCCTTGTGTATATTTAAGGCTGAGATAATTAGATTCTTGATCAGTTGGGGAAATCAAAGATTATGGGGCCAAAGGTGAGAAGTGGATGTAAGGAATGTCGAATCAGCCATAATCCTATTGAATGGTGCAGCAGGTTTGACGGGTTGAATGGCCTACTCCTGTTTATATTCCTTATGGTCTTATGTCTTATCTATGGGGAGAGAAACAGTTAACGAGCCAAATTTTTGCTTTTGGATGGCTAGCTCAAGCTGGGAATTTTCCTGACGCTGTAAAACCATATCAGTATAAAGATCTATGAATTGGGAGAAGCTTCTGGTATTGATAAAATGAATTCCTCTGGCACTTCTCTAGGGTTTAAAAACCACAATTCTCAGTTGGGGTCACAGGATCGATTAAGTTACTTGACGTTGGAAGCAGATGGCAGACAAGTGCCAAGGACAGTGGTTTAGAACGCCTACCTCGGTTCATCGGGTCTTGATGCCAGTTGTTTTAAAATCTGCTAGGTATTCTGAATCTCACTCCTTACATCATGCCTCCCATCTACATATGCCCCCATGCCCTTTCCGTACCCACTAACCAGGTAAGCACTATGAAAAGAAGCAATGAGCTATTTCATATCATTGTGTTGAATTGGTGAGCAAGAGAAAGTATCCATTCAGAAATCTGCCTTGCAAAAAGAATTGTGGTTTATAAACCCTAGAGAAGTGCCAGAGGAATTCATTTTATCAATACCAGAAGCTTCTCCCAATTCATAGATCTTAATTTTGTCCAAATAAACATATAGATATTATAAAACTGTAGCAAGAATAATTTATTGATTGACACCTTTTGAGGTAATAAACAAAGCAAACACTCCACTTTCATCTAACAAAACCAAACCCTGCTGAGCTAATCTATTAATGAGTCTTGGAACTCAGCCAAGTATTCATAAAGATTCCATCTGGGAGTTATATGAACAGAGACAGATGACTAGGCATCTATTTCTCCTAAAATGTTAGCTCAGAACTGAGAGTAAGGTTACAATGACTCTGTTCCAATGTCACACTTAGACTAATGTAGAAGTATGCTGTGACAACATGGTTCCTGTGATCTCTTTGAAAATTATCACTGTGCTTTCTATTACTGTTATACTACTATGGCTACACACACTAGGGATTGGGTTGGTAGCGTCCAAAACTCAGTTTGCTTTCATTGCAACCAATAGATGAAGGTGACTTTTAATTCAGCAAAGAAAGGCTTGTATTTCTGTAACTCTTTTAATAATTTCAGAAACTCTTAAAGTGCTTTACAAGTAGTGAAGTATTTTTGAAGGATGTTGTATTGTGTCTTACAGTTCATATGTCAGTGTACCTTTTAAGAACATGCCCATGATATCATCACTGCATCATTGTATGTAACCTGAGGGTATAAAGTTCTAAGTTTCCACTTTAACTAGGGCCATTAGAAGCATGACACACTGATGAAAGCATGTTAGTCTTTGTAACTGAATAGTCTGGTTTTAGCCCAGACACTGAAATGCATGTTACTGTAATATTTGTACATATCAATAGCTGGAATCAGTAAGCACCCAACAATCAAAAATCTAACTTTAAGTTACTCCTGGTTTTGGCTTAAGAGCTGTAATGTATAATTAGAGAGTTTATTGCCCTGCCTCTGCTGAAATAAATTACAACTTGTTTTTTCCAGATGTTTCAGTCAAACTCACCCTAATGCACCAGTCTGTGAAGTTGAAGAAGAAACATACCAGGCACGTGAAGCACAAGATAAATCCAGTTTGGAATGAGATGATAATGTTTGAAGTGCCCTATGAGCTGCTGTGTAAATCCAGTCTTGAAATAGAGATGTTGAACCAGGACTGTACAGGGCAAAACCACTTACTGGGTAAATGTAGCCTGGGTCTGAATTCCAATGACTTAGAGCTAAGTCACTGGCAGGAAATGTTAAACAAGCCCAGGAAACAGATCGCAATGTGGCATAAACTACATGCATAATCCTCTTCCTGCTCCATTGCATTTACAATACCAAGCTTCAGGCAAAATCCCCTTTCCTGAACTATTGGCCTGAGAAATTCAATGGTGCTGTGCCCACCTTTCAAGCAAAGAAGTGGGCACATTACTCAATGAAAATGCGCTTCCCATCAAATTCGTAAATGCATGAACTGTATTTGAAGTCCATTACTTAAAACATGTGTTAGGTCCTTTGATTATGCTAGTTTGGGGCCCATTTACAGCTTCATTCAGAAAATGATTGTCTTTTCCTGAACTCTCAAAAATATGTCCTACACACAGCCTAACTGAAAGGATTTCTGAAGGCTGTCACCAAAAAATTAAGTTTGCTGGTGAATGCTGCACAAAATGTGGTTTCCAGGGGATGCAGGAGTGTTTGCCCCACCCCAAATCCACTGCATCTAAATGACCATTACCAGTGTCTGCCTGGCCCTCTCCCTGTTTGCCTCTTTGCTCTTTCAAACATCTCTCCTTCCGATTACAACTTTCTCCCTGTCCCTGTCTGTTGTCTCCTGCTTCATTAATCCATCAATTGAAGTGTCTCACAAATACTTAACTGATTTTGTTTCTGGATCAGTTAGCTTCCAACTCAAAGTACAAAATCCATCTCTGGTAATCTGGCATGTGGTCACATTAAATATTTTCAGCAGAGAAGCCAACTGCATACAAATGAGAACAGTGCACCGTAAAATACATCCCCAAACATGTGCTGTGGGGTTTAAAACTAAAGACGGCTTTCCCGTTGGCTGTTCCCAATATATCGAATTCTAGGTCTACAAAAACATTCATGCAATATGTTCTGTAGACAATGGACTATACAGATTTATCAGCATTTATGTACTGTAAACATAAAGTACAATACGTACTGACCTGCATCATTTGATAGTTATTTTCTTGACACTTGAAGTACCGGGAATGTTTGACCATTTCGTTTTTTCTCTAGGCAGCAGCGGGACGGGGCGGGAGGTGGTATAGTAGCAGGATGGTGCTAATGAGGAAAAGAGAACTTAATATAGAGTGTGAGACGAAAATCTTATGTTATCCTTCAACTCCGTTCAGAGTTGTTGAACTCAAGAGTACACAAACATTTCATGCTTCAGCTCATTATGACAAAAACAGTCATGTACTAGGTCTTCAAATCATATCTACTAGATTACCATGTTTGTTTCATTGTCATACACATTGGTTTTCTGCCATAAGTTGCCAAGTAATATTATTAACTTTAAAGTCACTGAGTACCATTGTACAGCAGGGGAGACAAACAGCTCTGTATTCACTAGCAAGAGATAGTTTAATGACTGAATGGCACATTTCACAGGAAAGTCTTCATGGTGTATATGGGAACTGTTACTTTGTGACATAGGGGTTACTGCACGGAGCAGTGGCAAACAACATTCCTTCGTTGTTTGGTCTCTTTGAATATTCTGATCCGTATCACATTTTGTTATTTTCAATCAACGTGTACAGACTGATGATGATACACCCATGAGGAAGGTGAGAATTGAACCTGGACCTCTTGGTCCAGATGCAGGGACACGTCACTGTGACACAAGTTCACCGGAGAGACAAACATTAATCCAGTACCTCAGGCTGCTTGGCCGCGCTACTCAGTATCAGGTTTTATCTATCAAAAGCTTTTTGGATTTTCCATTCTCTGGATTATTTTCGTGCTTGTAATTCACTAAAAGCCACTAAACAGACAAAACAAAATAAAAAAGCTGAACGGCCTTTATCTGAAGAATGCCGTAATGTTAAAAAAAATCCTCCTGCTGCGTTCAGAGGACACTGAACCTCAGGAAGGGTAAATTAGCCTTGGAAGGGATTCAGCAGATCGAGGCAATGGTTTAAGGGATTAAATTATAAAGTTGCATAAATGTAGTTTGTACTTGTATAATGTTGATAGATGATCTAATTGAGGTATTAAATGATTAAGGGATTTGTTAGGGTTGAGACAGAGGAAGACTTCCCCTTGGCAATGGGATCTAGAACAAGATACCATGATGTGAAATTAGATCAAAGTCATTTAGAAGTGAAATTGGGAGGAACTCTTCCACACAAAGGATACAAAAATTCTGGAATTGAACCCTTCCGTGCACCAACTCCCACACCCACACCACACCCCCACCAAAAAAATGATGCTGGGTCATTTTAAATTTTCAAGACGGAGATTGAAATGTATTAAAGGGCATGCAGCAAAGAATGGTAAATAGAGTTGAGGTACTTATCAGCCACTAGCTAACTGAATGATGGAACAGGCTTAAGGGGCTGAATGGGTCACTCCATTATGTACTTGTTGGTACTGCTTCCATTATCTATATGATGTGTAGTTATGAATCAACTGTACCATCTTGTTAAGCTGATTCCAATAAACCACTTTTCCTTCTCTTTAGTAATCTGGTCACGTTCTATCATATTGAATCCTCTGTTCTTTCTAACAACTGTCTATGCTCTTAATGGATGTGCTTTCTAAAGTTATGAATATCTATTAACATTTCATATTCTAAGTCACATTGAAAGATCTGACCTTGCAGCAAAATCAAACTGGATTTTGGTCATCGAGGTAGATTCTGGACATCAGCCAAATTCACAACAGGTCATTCCAGAGGCAAGATTTTAATTGTTGGGGATTGAGTGTGGGCTGCCATTAGACAAGTCAACCCAGGAAAGAATTCCAAGGCATGCTACTGAGTACCGAGGCGAGCTGTTTAAAGAACTTGTCCTGTGGGACTTCATCCCAGATGTAATGAAAGCAGAACGGCCTTCTAGCCACCACCCCTTATTCCTCACATGGTCTCCATGCTTCATCTGTAATACCTCATGTCTTCCGGCCATTCCTGCCACCCCACATCCTCTCATATCCCCATTCTAAGCTATGGCACTTGATTCCCATTGTCTCACTTAACACTGTGAAGAAACAATGAATCCTTCAACGACAAAAGCATTTGCAAAATAAGGTTTAAAGACAGTCATGCATTCATCCATTACTATCCACTTCCTCAAAAAAAATCTCCTTTTGGACCAATAAAAATGTCAAATATCCAGACCTTTAATATTATTAATAGCAGAAACTATAAGCATCTGAAAACTCTTAATCTTATGGAAAATAAACAGTCTAAAGATTCTTTGGTACAATGGTAGTGTCCCTACCTCTGGCCCAGAAGGCACAGGTTTAAGTCCCATCTGCGGTAAAGGTGTGTCATAACATCCTTGAACAGGTTGATTTAAAAGTATCTATACTTCATTGGAAGGACTTCTGACAATGCGTTAAAAATACTTTTTTAAAAAAACATTGTCATTGGACAGAAGAGATCAGAGAACCAGAGCTGTCAATCAGGCTATGTTTTCCTTGGTTTAGCTGTTACAGTAAACTAATGGGTTTCTCGGTTGTCAGCAAGGCCTTATTACAGGGACATAGCCAGGCATGGGGACTGAGCACGAGGAGAACTTTTTGAGGACTTATCTCTTCACAAGCATCCCTCATGCAGAATATGCTTTACGGCACCTCTGAGGGGGTCATGAATCACAATTCCTTTAAAAGCTGTCCTGACTCCATGAAAATTGCAAGGGACGAGGGCAGTCTATTTCTTCAATGAAGCTGGTTGGGTCTGGAATATAGGTTGTGGGCTCATGACCTGCACCTTAAAAAGGCACTCCTGACAATCACTAACCCTGGCAATAAGGTCATAAATTCCAGACTTGGCACTCGCCTACAATTTTTAAAGGGCTTCCAAGTCAGCCTGTCTCGACCAAAACCTGATGATGACACGTAGCCAAAGACACCTCCGGAATTTAGCTCTGGAACACTTATTTCAGTAAGAATATAGAAATGTAGGATCGGAAGGAGGCCAATTCAATCTATGAACCTTTCCCCCTGTCAAAGAGATTAACAAGTTAGTTATTATTGTCATAAAATCTCCAAAGCTTTAAAGGGGTTGTGGCTCCCTGTAGTTCTATATGATTTCCATTCATTTGAGCAGTCATGCTCACTCAGTGAACTAAAACCATTTAGTGCTGTGGGTGACGAATCACTCTGACCATTCTTCTATTGGTCAAGGCCACTATTACCATTGTATCATTCAACTACTGGAATGGCAGAGGCAAACCTGATGAACCTTTCTTCACACAGGAATTTCTGTACTTCTTTGTGCCTCAGATTTATTTTCCCCCAATTATTTTTCCTCTGCAGTCCCTTCAAACACCCTCATACCCCCACCTCTTACTTTTAATTTCATGTAATTATATCGTTCTCCTGTAATGAAAGACTGCTGTCTAGCGATCTGAACAGTGTTGCAGGGCTCTTTGATGAAATCCAAGTTGTAGTATTGGTTTCTATTTGTCAGCATTGCTGTTCAGCTGTGTTTCACCTCCTAGTAAGAGAGTAGTCAAGCTTATATTTACTAGTTGGGCTATAACATTTGTCAAAGGCTGGATGACTGTAAACCAAGCTGACATGTACTTAAGCCAACAAGCAACTTAATATATGAACCGATATCCTTGGAAAGGAGCTGTAATTTGTACATTGGAAAGGATAACATCATTTATTGTCAAAGTGTAAAATACTCCAGCAGGCTGAAGATTAACATAAAAAAAACTACAAGTCAATACTGCCAGTTATCAACATCTCCATCTCAAAGAATAAGGCACCAGTGTTTACTGCAAAATATCTTGTTCTTGGTTTCTTTTTGAAACAATGTTGCTTAAGTTAAAATAGATTTTTAAGATGTAATAAAAATATAAACAAGAATGTTATCCACAAAAATTGTACTAATCCTTTGAAGAGAAAGCAGAACATGAAATAGATCTGATAAAACATGTTCCTTGTAAATCAGTGTATCTATTTTACACAGAACTTAGCTAACTTTCCTACTGAACTTAAGCAAAACAATTTGCAAACATTTTGGTCACAGTACTGAATGTGTTGCTGGAACAAATTTGACAAAGGTAACTGCTGTTATCTCAAACTAAAGAGAGGTCAAACACGTCAAAGGTACTTTGAAATGTTAATAGCAAATACAAAATAACTGGGATGAGAAACAAAATGGGTGAAACACCACAGACCAGTACTGTTGGGCTTTTTATGTTTATAGATCATGAACATTATTAGCAAAGTCAAGTAGATTAGCTGCAAAATAGCTTTCAAAGCAGAACCCATTTTCAAAAATGTTATGATGGTGAACATTGATCAGGGTCAGGCGTCAACAGTTCAGTTGTGTCAGGCCATGATTCTTGGGGCATATTTTGGTACTGTGGGTACATAGTTAACATAATTCTAGCCAAGACTGTGTTCAATTTCCACATTCAGGGTTAACTCTGCATTTTCTTTCTGAACTAGTATTATTTACAGATGTGGAACTTGAGGTGTAGTGTTGTTAGGTTGGAGAGCTGGAGTTGTTTACATACAGCAAAATAAACCGAGAAGAAATCTGATAGAACATTATTTCAGAGATAGCAGGAACTGCAGATGCTGGAGCCATTTCTGAAGAAGGGTCTAGGCCCGAAACGTCAGCCTTCCTGCTCCTCTGATGCTGCTTGGCCTGCTGTGTTCATCCAGCTCTGCACCTTGTTATCTATGATAGAACATTATGACAGGTTTGGATAAAAAAAGGCAAAAATAACCCATTCCCATTCATTAATAAGACAACTATGAGAAGACACTGATTTAAGGTTTCGAGCATGTGATACAGTGAGTGAGAAAGATTTTTTTTAATGCAGCCAGTAGAAATGACCTGAAACTCACCAACAACTTCAAAAAGAAATTGGATAGGCACTCGAAGCAAAGTTTTAGGGATTGAACAGGGACTGACTGGGAATGCTCCATGCAGAACTGGCATTGACATGCGGGCTGAATATCCTCCAACTGCATCATAAACTTTTCATTGACTTCAGGAAGGCTGTGATGGCATTGGCAATGGTACAAAAAATGATGGATAAGAATGATTCCAGGGGTAATGAGCTTCAATTAGATGTTTACGCTGGAAAAACTGGGAGAAGGTTGAAGCGACTTGGCAGAGGCATTCATGTTTAGGGGTCTGGACAGAGGAAATAGAGTGTAACTGTCCCCCATTGGTGGAAGGATCAAGAGCCACAGTGCACAGATTTAAGGTGACTTATAAAAGAAGGAATGGCAATGTAAGGGAAGATTTTTTCTTAACACAGCAAGTGGTTAGAACATGGAATACACTGAGTATGTGGTGCAGGCAGATTCATCATGGGTTTTAAAAGGGAATTGGATAAGCACCTGAACAGGCAGGTTTACAGGACAAGGTTGAGGGATCAGAATTAGTTGTGTTAGTCCTGCAGAGAGTCACTGCAGACACTAAAGGCGGACTGGCCTCCTTGCTGTAACAAGTCTATGACCCTAATAAATAAGTAAAGTTTCACGAGATGTTATTTAAATAATTTGTCAACTTAATTGCATCATGAACATTGCTCCAAAGTGCTGATTTTACTGCTTGCTGCTGTTATTAATTATATTTATGAATAAACTTCTGCAGTAGTTTCATTGGCTAAAAATGTTTGAGCATGGTTGGGATATCATTTATCTTCTGAAATGCTGTAACATATAGTGATTTATTTGCACGCTATCTAACAACAATGAAAAGTTTGCATTGGGTGTGAGGGAAAAAAAGAAGAATGTTGTTGAATTGTGATGATTTGCAAATGATTACAAGGCATGAATTCCCTCTTTGAATGGGAAAAAAGCTATTATCATGCCTCTTGGTTGAGTTTTTGATTCATACATTCCTCTGTTTTCCAGGAGCCTCCTGTGAGAATATTGGTGGCCAGACACATCCCAGAATGTAGTATCAAGACTAGTTTGGACAGTCTACTAGGAAACTGGTGACACGAGATGGAAGGAAATTGCCTACTCTGT